AACAGTTTCTGAGCTGACAGCTGGAGCTGCTGGACCTCCACCACTAAGTCATTCAGCATTTCAGGGCAACAGCACTATTGTGTTTAAAGTTACCATGAAATCAAAATCTTCTTTTTTTATGGAATATTGCAGTATTTACTATGAATGATTTATCCGTGCACATCTTTTTCTTTTCTTTTTTGTGCACTCATAATATTTAATCAAAATAACTTAAAAAAAAAATAACTCCCTCTTGCAAATACTTCTCTTCTCTAATGATGTGTTTACTGACATGAGGGCGGGACAACCTGTCACTCACATGAGATCATAGCAATAACAAACCACAACCATCCAATCAATTCTCCATGGACAAAATCAAGTCCCGCCCAACATTTTATCTTGTTCAATAAGCCGTTTCACTCGGAAACACTATTGCAAAACCATTTCATGCCTACTTTAATTTTAGACAGTAGTCCTGCAAAATGTGCAAGTCAACTATTTTGCGCAAACATTTCTACACCTGCAATGTAGCATATAATTAAATCACCCTTTTGCAGGTGAAGGCTAGTCAGTTTCCGCTGCCCCACTCAGGCGAGGTGTTCAGGTTAAGGGCGAAACCCCTGAGACATTGAGATCCCTGCTGACGATCCGGAAGGGTTCCAACAACACGGACGCTCCGTGGAGTACCACCTCGGAAGAAGATACGCTACACCAGTTAGTGTAGTTCCTATGCTTGTGGCAAAGCATCTCTGATGTTTACTTACATTACAAATTTATGTTACATATTTATGTTTTTATCAAATTTGTAAAATAGGCAATGAAGGTTGAAGAATTTGTTGTGGTTGCATACATTTTTTTATTTAATTATATATAATATACTATTGTTCATTGTTAGTTCATGCTTGTTCACAATGCTTTAAATCATGTTAATTTAAATAACTTTTACTGTTTAAAATGTAGTAGTAATATGTAATAGCCTATGTAAAAATGAACATTAACTTAGCTTATTGTTTACTTTTAGTTCATGTATATGCTAATATCTTTGTCAGCATCATTTCGCACTAGAATTTATACCGGCCGTGCTTTGTGCATCTTTGTATTCATGAAAAACACATTACAGCAGCTCTTAAATGATCTAGACCCACGATAAACACAATGCGTGCTAGAGACTCATTTTGATGAGATCAGGCTGCAAGACCACAAAGCAGCTTATTCAGTTTCCACGGATATGCACCAATAATGTAAATGTTCCACACTATAGAGCTCTACAAAGACAAATGTGTTGACATATACAATTGTAAAGCTATACTTGTTTGACAAAATGTATTAGAAGATACTCTCTAAACGTATTAGAGAGATGCTGACTTTGTGACTGTTTGTTAGATATTATATTTTATATGAGCAAGCATGTGTCCGGCCACAAGGAATTGACTGAAGCATCTAAGAACCAGTGCAGGTTTATGACACTGTAGAGGGATGCTAAAGTTAACATTTGCAAAGCATTGCGTTTACTATAAAAACTAAAGAGAACATGTTATATGTCACAATCTTATAGATAATATTACATAATAACTAATAATTACATAATAATTTATCATAATTAATTTATAATGTAATTACAATAATAATAGTGTAAAGTACACTACCGTTCAAAGGTTTGAACAAACTTCAGCAAAGATGCATTAAATTGACCAAAAGTGATAAGATATATTTTAAATAAATGTTCTTTTGAACTTTCTATTCATCAAAGAATCCTGAAAAAAATGGTATGGGTTTCCACAAAAATATTAAGCAGAACAACCATTTTTAACATAAGAAATGTTACTTGAGCAGCAAATCAGCAGAATGATTTCTTAAGGATGTGGCACTGAAGACTAATGAGTTATGGCTGATATTTGCCATCACAGGAATTAATTACACTTACAAATTGCAATAATGTTTCACAACATTCCTGTTTTCACTGCATTTTTGATTAAATAAATGCAGGCTTGGTGAGCAAAAGAGAGTTTTTTTCAAAAACATATTATTGACCCCAAACATTTCGAGCGGTAGTGTATATGTATACTATTAAACTCTTTTTAGTATCTAGGTCAAAACAGACAAAAATAAAGATGAATAATGTAGTGACATAATTTTGCTATGTAATATTGCCATGCATATCATTTTGCTGTGGGCCTGTTTTAGTTGCAATGAATAACTGTATCCTTAAAACATCATGTTTGGATTGCACATCCAGTTTGGTCTGAAGATTAAAGCCTAGAGATCTTTTATAATGCTCACTTTGTTCCAGCACTTTCTCCAGAGTACTTTGAGTCATTACATCCCAGCAAGAAAAGAGGAACTTCAGCCATTCTTTCCACATTATTCATCTTCTCAAGCAAATAGGCCCTATTTACCAGTCATTATGGATTTGCCACACCTCCCGAATTGCAGCCGTGCACCACAAGCTCCCACGAATGGCGATGATAGCAACCATACTGGATGAAACGTCAACGAACAAAATGCCTATTCAACAACATGTTCCACCAAGATCACCAAAGCACCCACCATTTTTTTCCTGGAAGCTATTGAAAGAGACGGAGTACTTACCATACGGTGGATCCATATGGGTGCTAACCTGAGCGTTCACATTGACCATGATGTCTCTTCTGCTCCCCACCACTGTGTTTTAGTGATTTTTCTCTTTCAAGTGTAAAAGATGATGAGGAATAAACACATATAAGTTTTGCACAGTCCTCTGTTTCTGGTGAAGGTGTTGTTGGCGCAAGGTAAGGCCGGTACTCCTGTTATCTTATTGATTTTCCTAATCTGGGCAAATGTGGGTGGAGAGGTTAAACAGTAACCAGGCTTGTATAGAGACCAATCCATATGACAGCTGTAGCTATAGCAACAGGATGATAGAAACTCAAATAGACAGTTTGTTTTAATTTTTCTCAATTTCTCAAAGTCTCCATCTTTTTGAACTCATGCCATATTCAGGAATGAATCATTAAAGGTTAGAGTTTTGTGTAGCTAAGCATATAGGAGATGGAAGGAGTGTGAGAAAAGAAAGGAGTGGAGCGTTTACGCAGACTCATTAAGATATTCTGATTTGTCTGATTCTCATTATCTTTGACAAGAAATAGTCCAAATTCACTGTTTGACAACATGCCTCATATCAGCTTTCATTTCCACCACTGTAATTATTTATATTAATTAATTATTAGGGTTAGATTCTCAGCCATTAGACCAATACCATCCCATTTCAATCTTATAGACCTTATGCGCCAGAGAAACAACCGTGGCACGGGCAGCCACCTTAAGAGTATTATGTATCAGTATGGGTATGTTTGCAGCGACAACGTTGTAGTACTAAAAATAGATTTCAAAAGCTATCACCGTTCACACGGATCGGCAAATACGACTAAAAACGCTGTATTATTCATGCAGGGCAGTAGTTGGAGATGTCACTTTAAGAGAAACCCCACATCTATTGACTGAGCATGTAATAGGCATGCGCATGACATCACCGTTTTCACAAATTCACGTTTTTGTTGTTTACATGGAGTGTATCATATTCAACTTGAACTTTGAAACCCGTTTTCTGGCCCCCAAAACGCCATGTTCGTGTAAATGAAAAACGCACAAAAAGGTTTTAGTTGAAAATGGTGTTGTAAACATAGCCTATATTTCTAAGGCATCGCTGTGTAAAAGTAATTAGCTGGTGAAGTAGATTTACTTATGGCAGAGTTGACGGGAGTTATCATGGGCACTGTAATGTTTCATGTTCATTCATAAATCTGTAAGGTCTTACCTTCATTCTGTGGAAATACAAACCGGAAGACAGAACACAGCGAGCTAGCGCTGGAAAAGGGGCGGAGCTACATAAATAGGCCTAGAACTTGAGCTGCCTTTTTTCTTAACGGATATAATTTTAGTTTCAACAGCTTTTCCCATGAATATAATGTGATGCTTTCAGGCAGGATTGTATAGCATTACACAAGTCTACTGTTGCTTTCACTTTTAAGCAGCTTCATGGGAAAGTGAATTTTCGATTTTCCCCAGATTTGTCACTCTGGTATAGAGACAGGCTCTACGTTTTCTAAAATGTCTTTGAAGTCTATTATGCAATAATATATAATATTGTGAAATATTTTTACGATTTAAAATAGCTGGTTTCTGTTTTAATATATTTTAAAACATAATTATTTCAAAGATGTCAAAGCTGAATTTTCAGCATCATTACTCCAGTCTTCAGTGTCACATAATCCTTCAGAAATCATATGCTGATTTGCTGCTCAAGAAAAATTATTTATTATTATTATCAACGCTGAATAAGGTTGAGCTGCTTAATATTTTTTTTTGTGGAAACTGTGATACATCTGTTTCAGGATTATTTGATCAATAGAAAGTTCAATAGAACAGCATTTATTTAAGTATTTTGTAATATTTACTGTCACTTTTGATTCAAATAATACGTCCTTGCTGAATAAAAGTATTAATTTCTTTAAAAAAAAATATTCTGATCCCAAACTTTTATACTTACCAGGAGCCGACACCTTGATTGATGCCCTTTTGATTAAAAAAAACAAAACAGTGATATATTCTTGTTTTGTTACAGATGAATGATCTCAATTACCGGTAAAGTATTCTCTATACACTGGATTGAAGACCAAGGCCCAGCGCTTTGTTTATAGCTTTAATAGCCTTTTAGTCATGGTTTACAGCAGATCTGGCTCTTGTAGATGGATTGAGCACATTAATGAGGTGATAAAAGATGGTTTCGGTCTGCAACTCAAAATGATCCTGGACCAGTTTCTCACATATGCCTTAATAATATGAGTAACTTCTAATATATTCTTTGTTTTTTGTCTGCTATAAGGTGTTGGCAGCAGTCTGTCTGTGTTATAAGACAAAATGTAAATAAAAGGTCTGTTTTTATGAGGACAAATGTGTTGACAATGCAGTCATGTCCTCTGTGTGACTTGAGTGCAATAGACATTTCAAAACGATAGTAACTTAGAAACCACCGAACACACGACTTTTCCTAATCTAAAGAAAATTTATTACCTGTACAAAAAGAACAAAATAATAATAATAAAAGAAAGAAAGTGCTTAACACCCAATGTGAATTGTCACTGCGATGCAACTTAGTACAAACAAATTATAAGTAAAACAGTGCAAACAAAGCCTTGAAAAACAACAAACGGCGAACATTAAACAACTTATAAAGTAATAAAATAAACATAGACAACTATGGGGTGATGATAACACAACAACAGTTGATGCAATTTGACAATTACACATTTGATTAATTGGACATTTTACAGCACTTATTTTTTTAATAAAATAACCACGGAATAAGTTGCATTGTAAAAATTGTACATTTTAGTGGTTACATTTTTAATAAAATAATTTTTGGGGGATTTTAGGGATTTTTTTTTATCGCTTAGCCTCTGAAACCACTCGTATTTCTTCTGGATTTTGATCTGGAGTCACACTGGTTTTTATGGCATGATCCTCCATAGCTTGAGGGACACGCAGAGCATGGTTTTCCAGTCTTATATGGAGCCTCTCCTACCCAGTTCCCCCTACAACAGAAGAAGCAACATGAGCAAGTTTGATTACTTTCCCTTTTCTTGCAAAAATCTTCTCATAAAGTGCAACCATTATTTAAAAATGACTGTATTGATACAGTAGAAAATGATTCTTACTTGATAGAATAGTTGCAAACCAGTAAAGTGGCCTGTTTCCACATACTTCCGAAAACATATATATTTGAACACCTTCTGACAGCACATCCAATCTTATTGCTGTTGGCCCACACCATCTGAAACAAAAAGTAATTACTAAGATATATTCTTTCTGAAGGATCATGTGACACTGAAGACGATGATGCTGAAATGCCATCACAGGAATAAATTAGGCTTATATATATCATTTTGGAGACCCACCTGGGTATAGTGTGTGCAGACAGAGCCACTGCATCCATTAGGGAAGGAGAAAGAGTGTCTCTCTCCATACCAGGATCTTACCAGATCAACGATCGATCTGTATCTGCAAAATGAAAGAAATAATAACAATCATACTCAGAATGTGTAAATTTAATCCAGAATTGATGGTTTTCAGATATTAATTCATGCCGATACCATTAGTGTACCCATTTTTGGTATGTTTTTGTAGGGGTCTGTACCTTCCAGAAATAATGGACAGATTCTGTCCAGTGGACCGCAAAACATGAGGAGGTCCATGGTCCCATATGCACTGAGAGGCCCAGGACTCTGCAGATTTAGCCAGTCTCTCATCCCACACCTTTCCAAGAAGAGAGGGGATAGATAAACAAATAATTAAAAGAATAGGTCACCCAAAAGGACCATGCATTGACAATAAATATGAACCGAGGATGTCAAGTAAAATTATTATAAACAATATAATAGACTATAAGAGTCACGACTATATATTCTTTCAGAGGACTTCTGGAGGAGCCATATTAATTCTGTAAGCAACAGTCTGAAATTTAACTTATCAAATCTTTACTTTAGCCCTGGTGGTGTCTGAATCGTGAGCAACGTCTCATTTAACACAATTCCTTTAAGTTAATTTTCTGATCTGAATCTGATTCATAAAGCAGATCTGAATTATTCAGACTTTAACTCAATGACTGAATGAATCGGTAGCCGTTCACAAGCTCACTTGACTTGAAGATTTTTTAAATGTAGCCTAATAAAAAAGGTATCTCTTTTTTAATGTTGTGTGTTTGAACAATAATACAATATAAAACAATAATAATGTGTAAAAAACAAAACAAAACAAAACAAAAAACAGTACATAAAAATACCCTAGCCAGCCTACCATATATTCCATATTTGCTGCGGGTGGGAAGACCTGTGAGCGCACGCGGTTGTGATAGTCCAGTAATGCCGTCATATCTTTGCTGGAGATGAAGCGTTTCCGCCGCGCTCGAGGTGCGCTGGTGTCACTGCTGTTCCACAGGACATCCTCCATTGAAACCTCATCGAGATGAAGCTGCTCTGTTGTGCCGTTCACCGCCACTGCTGCTGTCGTGCACGGCAGTGTCCACAAGGCGCCGGCAAAGAACAGCTGAACGCAGGCCAAATTCATCGCGCTTCCTCTTGTCTGGTTGGCTACAGGTGCTTTATTTGTGGAAAGAGAATACAATGTCAACAATCTCTCACTGTCTTAGTCAGCAAAATAACACTTAAGCACAGGAACGCTATGTCCATATTCAAGTGCAAGTAGCCTATCGTTTAATCCTGCACTTTCTGTTCGTAAGATAATAGCCAGACCATTTAAACCATAGTAATAGATAAACATGTCAACATAGTGATATAATTAGCAGATAACCCGGTATGTACAATTTATAGTCCACCCAAAAATGACCAAACATATATATATATAGGTAGTTACATAGCCTAATTTAACCCTATACAATTTGCTTTGTTAGTTATATAGACAGATGTTATTTTATATCTTGCTAAAAAAATTAAAATAACATATTTAATATACATTATAGAATGTACATAACTATAAAATAAGTTATAAATAAATAAATATATGTTTTAAACCTGTTATATGGTTTTACATGGTCAAATTAATACATGCATTAATACATGCTGTCAAAATGATTAATCACGATTATCGAATCTAACACAAAATTTTGTTTTTATATAATATATGCACACACACATTTGCATATATATATATAATACACAAACACACACACACACACACACACACACACACATATAAACACAAACTTGTATGTTAGATTTGACAGCCCTAATATATACATATTCTTATCAAAGTGGCATGGTTTGACACAAAGCAAATCATAGGGTTACATTGCAAAAGGGTTTAACCAAATTGACAAACATTACACTCAAATGCGCTCACTAGTCTTTGAAGGTATTATATATATGACCATCTCAACTGATGGAAAATGAAATACATCAACAACAAAGATCTTTCAATAAACTCCTTTGATTTTTTTTTTTAATCTAATCATAAAAAAGTGAACACATAATGGCTATTTAGGAGAAAAGTGTGGCATATACTTATGTAGTCCTGCAGTGTGAAGAGAGCGGGGGTCCTCAGTGGTCTTCACAGCAGCACATGCCTTCAGGAGTGATTCCGGCACTTTAGCACAGCCTGGAGAAGAGCAGCTGAAAAGATCTCCACTTCAACTCTGGCCTTTGCAAACAACGTCTTTGACATGTGTGGCAGCGAACTTTAACTGGGCCAACTCTCTAAGGCCATTTGACGTAAAAGAAAAGCCCTTGTCTCTTTTTCTTCCCCCACAGGGATGTTCCCAAAGTTCAGGAAACAATTTAATGGAAGTCTTTGCTTTTTCAGCACACAGTCAGTGGAATCTCCAAACAGCCATGCTCTCCAACAGGATTTTAAGATTGATGACTTTTCAACAGTCATAGCTCTCTTCTTTCCATTACCTTTGTGATTTTCAAAGTTTTTTTTTAGTTTTTTGTTTAGCTTTTTGGGCAACTTTCACCTCTGATTTCACATCCTGTCTTACCAGTATAGCATCCTTTGATTTCCAAATACTATAGGCTATAGTAACAAATAGCATACAGCACATGCACAGTAATATTCAAAGATAAATTGGTTTTTACAATGCTTGGCTACATTTGGCTCTTGTTCCTTTAAACCATCCGTTTCTGTTCCTCGCTTATATCGGACATGTGTGATTTTTTTTTTGTGAGCTTTGTTTGGAGCTGCACTCAGACGTCCTGGCAAAATGTTTCAATAAAATAAATTGAATAAGCACATAGGCAAGGATTTTATAAAAGGGAGGGAGTTGTTCTATGAATTAAAGTCCAACTTTTAAAGTCATAGCCAAGTCAGCACATTGTTCCAACTGTCTATTCAGGAAGGACATGCCATGTGTAATATCTCTAGTCTCTGGCCAGTGCCAATATACACTGCACAACTTTGACTGTCGCAACTACTAAACAGGGTCACATAGAACATTGAGTATTCTGACTTATTACTATGTGGCAATTCGCCTATGCAGAATATTCACCTCATACTGAGCAGAAACTAAACGTCAATGCAATATCAATAATGGATACCGCCTATCATTTGCACTTACTGTATCTGCTTTTTGGGACTTTCAATCCATCACAATCCATTGTGTGAGTGTGGTTGTCATTCTTCTAACTAATAAAGTTCAAAGACTTCCAGTTTGTTTTTTGGGGCTAACAGCTAGTATTGAATTCAATTTAGTACAGCATTATAAGCAAAATATAGTGAAAGTCAAACTATAATGAAGAAATAAAGCCTTTTTAATCAGCATGAAGGCTTAGAGACCTCAAAGGAAACTTTTAAAGTTAGCAGTCATCCTCAAACTCCCAAGGTCGGCAGGGTCAAGGTTCAACTTGAGGCCTATTTGGAAGACTTTCTGTTGGCTTACTATATAGGCAAGAGAGCCCTAACTTGTTCTCTAGACAAACATATGATGTCACTACTTAACATTCACAATGTTGCAACCTTATGGTTTTGACTTTGTAGACAAAATGCACAAGCTTAGTCATTCCATTGACGAGACGCATGTATAAACGTTCTTCCCCGGGTCAAATGTTTGACAGCTTTATGTGCTAATATGATGTAAACATAACTCTAAGCTACAATGTGCCCTTGTCGAGTGTAACGTTTAAAAATAGCCACAGACATGTCTCTGTCAATTCTCTCACATACTTAATAGTGTTGTCATCACACATCAAAGGACGTGATAAATGTTGAGCAGAAATATAAAATGAATCACTCGGTGCATGTACAAGCAGTAGCTATAGCTTATATTAAGCTTAATTCATTCGCATAATGTTACCTTGACTGCACCTCATTCATGCTTCTCCTTGTGCATTGTGGGAATGAAAGAGAGAGAAATGGTGACTTTAAAAGGTGCACAGCTGTGCCATTATCTCCTCCACAGCAATGAAAAGGGTCTTTCTGTCTGAATCACGTCATTTAGCATAAATCCAGGACTTCCCATTCCCTGCTGCTGCTCCATTTGTCATTTCAGCAGTCTAAACTTTGTTTTGGCAGCCCTGAAAACAAATTTGCTAAGTGATGTAGCTGTTCATGGTGATGGATAGTTTTGAAGGGAACAGAGACAATGGGTCTGTTCTGACCACCAGTTACTGGAATTAAAGGAATCGAATCACACACACATATTCTCATTACACTAACTATTCATTTGTAGATACAAACTTATAATTGATACAATTTGGCTGACACTTTTATCCAAAAGTAGATTGAAACCTTATTTTTATCAATGACCTGGCATTGCTAGCACCATTTGCTACCAGTTTAGCTACTGGAAAGCATTTGATTGAAAATGTATTAACAATCAGCAGAAAAATATTACCAATGTAAAATCTAAAAATATAATCACTAAATTCACACCAATAAGCAAACTATTCAACTGATTGAATACAACAACTGTAATTCAGTTAATCAATCAAGTTACTTATTTTGTCCTCAAATCATTAAAAAAAAGAATAGTTCACCTAAAAATAAGAATTCTGTCATCATTCACTTTTAGTTCGTCTATGGAACACAAAAGAAAATATTTTGAAGAATGTTTTGAAGAAAAAAAAACAAGACCCTGGTGCTATAGCACAATTAGTTTAGCTGGAAAGTCTGCATTTAATTAAAATAATCCTATAGTAAAATACTATAACATGTAGGCCTACAACATGTGGAATAACACTGATAAAATTAAAACATAAGAATCTCTAAATTAACATGCATAATTCACTTTAACTGAATATTACCCAAAACTATTGTTCAGTTATAGATCGAATCATTTTGTCCTCAAATAAAAGTCACAAAAATGAAAATTCTGTCATCATTTACTTGTACATATTCCTCCGATATTCTGAAGAATGTTTCTTTCCATACAATGAAAATCAAAGGGGTCCAAAACAACATGATTGGACCTCACTGATTTTCATTGCATGGACACACACACACACACACACGCACACACACACGAAGCACGCATGATGTACTCATGATGTCAAGCTGTAACATTTCAGATTTACTGTCAGGAATGCTCTGAGGAAGAGACAACGCCATAACTCATTGAGGCCCCCTTCTGTGAGACAGTATGAAGTGGGTCAAGCTTGGGTGAAACACCTCTAGACAATCAGGCCAAAAACAATCTCACTTCCACTAATATGACATCATCTTGTCTAGACACTTAAAGTGTGGTGTCTAAAGGGTTTTATCAGTGGCCATGGGTAACACAAATAAAACATTATGAAATGTAGGCTACTGTATGTGATATAAATAAATGAAATCTTGTGAAAATATTTTCATAACTTTCTAATCTAGAGTATAAAAATTATATTTACAAGTTTTTATGTTTAAATCAGAGCTATTCAGCTGGCTGGTTTATTATGTTTATGTAAAAATACATCTAAAATGAATATAAAAATAAAGAGAATTTGGTTTCGATTCGCATGTGAAAATTTGGATGTCAAACGTTTTAGGTCCATTCTATAGCCTCCTTCTTTTGATGATTCATGACTGCATCCAGGTAGTGTCCAAACTGGATTTAGTTATTCAAATAAGGGTCCAAATGGACCTGTGCGGCTTCCAATTGTAACTGTTATAGAGATTTCCAGATGATTTTTAAATCCATGCAATCAATTTTAAAACACCAGCATTTAACATCCTGTAAGACTGTTCTGTCTGGCACAATGTGTGGAGGGAGGCAGAATGGAGAGACAACATAGCCAACTGGCACACATGCTTGGAAACTCTGCCCCTGAATAAATACTGTCTTGCCAATAAAAAGGGCAAAAAGGGCAAGCCTGTGGAACTTTCCACGGTGCCTAAATGTATAAATCATACCAAAAATGAGTCTAAAGGTTTTTCGTGATTTTATTATGCCACCTATTGGACAGACTTTAAAACCCTATGTTGAAAAAACTGCAAAAACTCCTCTTGAAAGACACATTATATTAAAAAGGTGAAACAACAAGGTGATAAATATTTTAGAATCTATATTTTGTCATGCTTTAAAATAGCTATATTAGTTTAAACTTTTGAACTCACATTTAAACAACGTCCGTTCTGGTGTTATCTCATATGTTTAGGAAAGATATTAATTAATTAGTACTGTGAGGTCGTGATTTTTTTAATTATTTTTTTTTATTACCACGGCATACTGAATTAGCCTGGATGCCAGCCCGAACCCCCCCCCACAACATTTTTTGATCGGGAAGTTCGGTCTGGACTCGCTCCATTGAGGAGTAATTATGATCGGTTCAGAAATCGTCGGGCCAATCAAATTGCCAGGGCGGGCTTTATACGATGATGGACAGATGATCTGCAGGGACGTAATCCTCACGTTATCAAAGAGCGCTTGGGTTGAACTGGTTTCCCTCAGAGATGACTGCTGCTGGAGAACTGAGATGTAGAGATTCCGCTATCGCGTCCGTTGTAAAAGAAATCGACACCGCATTCATTTTAATAGACGAACATAGAACTGCAATCAAGGCATTTGTCGATCGGAAAGATGTGTTTGCCGTCCTTCCTATGGGATTCGGCAAAAGTTTAATTTATCAGCTGGCTCCGATGGTAACTAAGAAGATGGGACGCAATGAAAACCCTGTGGTCGTTGTGGTTTCTCCTTTGGTCGCACTTATAGAGGACCAAGTAAAAGAAGCAACACTCGTTATTTTACTTCTTCCAGCGTGCGTGCATTTGAGTTCTGTAGTTGACAGACAACTGTGCTATGCAAAGTAGTTGACTTACTGCGTTGCTCTCATTGGTTGTAGGTCTATCCAATTGAGTGCAGAGTTTTTTTTTTCCTGGTTCGGTTAAGACACGCCTCATAATCAAAGCCCTATGAAGCAGTATCAGACTCACATTCTGACTAGAATATGAGTATGACGAAGTCAGGCTAATACTGAATAACAACTCACCCGATTCCAGATTGCGAAATTACAGCAACTACCTGAACGACTGTTTCACTAATGTATATTAATCAAATAGCGCTGACGTGTTTGGTAACCTTCCAATGGCGGACGTCTGACTCTTGAATAATAATTAGTTAGGGCGACGTTTCTTAATAGTTCTCCAATGGTGAACGCTTGCTCATGAATATTAATCAGCAACCCGTAACCATAGTAGGATTCGTAGAGGCGGGGTTTCTGTTTCCGCATTCAAGCACAAACAGCACATAGATAGAACAACATGGCTGCAGTAGGCAGCTTAGTGAACAGTTTGGCTTGTTTCTGGAGACAGCCATGTACCCGTGCTTATTTACCGCACTTGTTCTTTTGTATCTCGTTTACAGGATCAGTTTTGAAAATGATGGACCTCGTGCCGGAGAGCTACTTCAGTAGCAGTAGGAATGTTTTAAATCTGTGAGTACAAGTCTAGGGTACTAGCTCCTTTACCCAGCTAGAACTCATTGAAACGCTGTAAAACTAAATAATTGTATTAGAAATGTGTTCGTTTTTAGAAAATAATACTAATTATGCCATATAAAGCAATATATACAATAATAAAAACAACGCTTGACATTGACAACTTATGACATTGATGGCTCAAAGTCATTTAATCTTTTTTGCTTAATTTTTTTACTTTCAGATATTTTGTGAAAGTTTCTTGGGGTTGGACCATTGTTTTGCTTCTGCCATTCATCCTTTACTCCAACTCTTACAACAAAAGCCACAGATTTGTGTTGAGGCGGCTTACATCACTCCTGGTAGCAACTCTCGTTTGGTACACCTGCACTGAGACTTTCTTCTACATTGAAGACATTACAGGTTCATGTTATGAGTCAGACAACATGCAAGCCACCCTTGCTGGTGACATTACCACGAAGGCGGCATGCAGGAAGGCTGGATTCATCTGGGATGGATTTGACATATCTGGACACTCCTTCATCTTGACTTACTCTTCTCTTGTGATTGTGGAGGAAATGGTGCCCATGTTACACATAACTGATGTTAGCAGAAACGCTCCTCTTGATTGTCTTTATATAGCACTTAATGCGATTGTAGCCATCTGGGTATGGATGTTCGGATGCACTTCTGTGTATTTCCATGATATTATCGACAAGATTCTAGGGACCTTGTGTGGCATATTTGGGTGGTACGTGACCTATGTTGTTTGGTACCCATTTCTCTTTTCTCCCGGTCTCCCTCCACAGCAGAAACAACATGCTTCGTGAGAGAAATAAATGGTACAAGAGCACTACAACAAGCTTCACATATCTGCACTGTTTATGTTATGTGAGATCTATGATGGGTTAGCCGTCCATGTGGAGCAGAAGGCAGCTGGTGTTCCTAAAATGACAATCTGTAATCTGAGAAGTCACATCTGAACCTTATTGTTGCCTTCAAAAGTTGTGTGGCTTTATACAGAGCTGGAATAGAACACCTGACAGTAAATTTAGCTTAGTCTGCTGCTAACATTACCTCCTGTAATCAATCTGCAATCTTCAGCTGAGCTGCCTTTTTTAACAGTAAATATTTAGACTTTGTCCCTTGAAACTAATATTGTTAACAATTTTGTGTTTATTGATTTTATTTTATTTTATTTTTTTCGTTTTTGGAAGTCAGAGAGTTGCTTCAGAATGCATTTGTTATATACTTGCATTGTGTTTTCATAGGACCATTTTATGTGTTCTGCCTGAAGGCCAAACTGTTCATTTTTATGCCACTGATTCGCAGTTGTCGTCATTTCTCATATGAATGTCAAAAGTCTGATCAGTTTATTACAGGATGACAGACCTGTTCTTGAAACCTAAAACGATTTGAGATGTACTGTTTGGAATATTATAACACTATCTGGGGACTGGATTTGTTGTTTAAGTGATACTTTTAAATTAATGGTTCCTTTAAGTCATTTCGGAAAGATCGTATTTATTTACGCACATAACCGTAACCACAATGTCGTAAACACGAGTGGGAAGCTCGGGATTTGCCACGAGCTTTACCAGTTGGGGGCGTGTCAGTGAGAAACGTGGTGGAATTTTTATAGTCTATGGGTGGAATACCACAATACTTATGTTTTTTTTAGTGACATTGTCAGGGTTATTTATTTACAACAAAATAAGCTAACTGTCTGAACAAAATATAATCGCATTGTAATAAAACAATAATATAGGCCTAATATTATAACGAGTTACAGTGGCTTCATCAATTAATTAAAAACATTGAAAAGCAAAACACACCTGAAGCACATTCTTTGTGTTTTATTTTAGAAGAAGAGTTTAAAAAACTTGCTGTATTTTGTGTAGGCCAAGTTAAAAGAATGTACACTGCCATTTTGCTCCAACGAAAGTGACTTGAAAGCAACACGTCGTGAACACGACTTCCCAACTCGTAAATAGCTTACGAACTTCCCAGGAAGACTTGAACGCACTATTTATCTGGTTATAATGATCTTTTGCAGGTTTGAGGAACAATGAAAATTAGATGTAAATGGATTCTAACATACAAATGATGAAACATGCTGGTTATGGAGGGCACATCCATTAGTCATCATTACATGATGTATCAATTAAAATATTTTGGTGATTATCATTGTAGTAATGTTTGTTGTAATAGGCTACATCAGTATTTCAAAGAAAGCAGTGTAATAGTGTAACAACACATCACTGAGGTCGGTGTATTTTTATTTAATTCATAATGGTGTTTAAATGAATAAAGATCTTTGAATTGAGGATTCTAGTAAACGTCGTGCATTTTATTTCTTATTGTTGTCTCAAGGCAATACTCTGTAAACTCACTGAAATATATTGTTCATCGTCCTACATTCCTCTTACACTTCTCTCTCTTTTGGGTGGTGTGGGAAAATTCTGGATTTCTCTGGACAAATGTTGCGGGATTGATGCACACACAGTTTAATGCACGTCATGGGGAAAATGATGCCCCCTTTTCTGCCAGCATGATTGGTACAGTCCAAGTCTCAGTCAATGGTGCTTTAAAACCTGGATAGTGCTAGAATGTGCCTTTTAGAGTGAGGGAGGGGGGGCTGTGCTCATAGAAATGCGGTTTATTCAGTACAGCATCGTCACTATCTGCGTGCAGCATCCCAGACAGGTGCAGAGAATACAGGCTAAAGCTCTAAAGAGACACTAAGACTGAAGACTTTAAGACTTTTTTTAAGTAAGCCAAATTAGATTCAAAGCTGTGACCATGACCCAGGGAAAGGTAAGCATTTTATTCTTTACCATTTTTAAAGATTTTATCATTATATGTGTGTTATTGCTGACCATTCACCAAAAGCTAGGAATTCAATTTTTTTATTTTTTATTTTTTTGGTCTGCGAATTCGCAGTGGTCTGGATGACTGAAATTTCTTTCATGTGCTAGTTTTTCTGCCCTGTTCTGGTTTTGTCTCAGTTTAAATGATGGTCCAGTGACGCTGAAAGAAGCTTTGTCATGTTTTGGTTTTGTGCCTTATACTTTTAAACTGATTTATGCCCATCAATTCTATAGTGCTACATGTTTATATTTTTGCTTCAGGAACGCTTTTTCATTTCTTAAAACCTGCTGTTGTATCATCTATCACAGTGTTTTACAACTGCGCATGAGCAAGATACAAAGGTAGAATTAGAAAATAATGTTTGCAAGACATTTATTTTCATGTGTTCTTTTCCTGATTGAACAGATATATCTGATTATGATTGAATTTCTATAGTTTAACTATCTTTTTTTTCTGTAAACAAGTTTTTTCCTCAGTTGCCATTAAGGAGCAAAGCGTTTTTTTAAGGTGGCTTGTGATGTCAATTACCAGTAGTAAACTCTCCTATTACAGTGAATCAGTCATTGATAAGTAATGCCTGAATACATTTCTCAGTCTCTCCGTCTGGGTTACAATAGCGCATACTATTGGATGGCATTATGTACAATGATTTACCTATGTATGCAGCCATAATGATTAAAATATTGTCCTGAATAATGTAATACATGGATGAATACCTAGTTCTGTAACAATACATGCTTATCTATCTATAATTTGTTTAATGGAAAACCAATATATTGCTGTTGAGTGCATACAGAATAACAAATAAAGTTTAATATGTTTTAAGCTTTCAGTAACAAACAAGTCAGACAATGGCGCTGATGCTCAGCCGATGGCCTCAGCTCCTCCAAGTTACCATGAGGCAACTACTGGTAATATTACTTTTCTTCCTTTAGTAAATTTCCTGTTTAAACTGATCTGCACTGATAATTAGATGAATTCAGTCAATGCAATTGCATTTTGGTAACTATGCACTACTATACTTTGGGGACACCAATGGCATGGGTACCACTTCAACACCCATGACAGTCACTGTGGATGTTTTCAAGAATACCTGTGAGAAACAAGATGTTTAATATATCCTTTTGTTGCTGAAAGGTGGCAGTCCTTGTTATAGTGGAGCTTATCCCGAAGATGGTGAGATGCTCACAGAATTCAGCTGGGATGACCGAAAGATCAGGAGGATATTTATCCGCAAGGTAACATTGTCTTCTGTTTAGTGATTCTGATCGGCTGTGGACGATATGAAGTGAATTAATGTAACAATATTTCCTGTAGGTGTACAGCATCCTGATGCTCCAGCTTTCTGTCACATTTTCCTTTGTGGCTCTTTTTGTTTTCTGGTGAGTGTGTGTGCTAAAACTTTCATAATGCATTGTTCTTTCTTTAAGCTTGATTCACAAATATGTCTTGTCTATCTTGTAGTAAACCCGTGAAAGATTACATTCAGACCAACCCTGGCTGGTACTGGGCATCATAGTAAGTAAAAATCATTACTTTAAAGTTGATGTTTTAAAATGTAAATCTTAAAATTCTGTTGGTATTTAGACAGCCTTAATTACAGTAATTCAGTGCTAGTGTAAGTTACTATTTAAATGTGTGCTTTATGTGTTGTGATGTATAATGGCTTAATTGTCTTTTTTTTCTCAACAGTGCAGTGTTTTTTGTCACATATCTGACCCTGTCCTGCTGCCGTGGACCCAGGTGAGTGTATTTGTAGTCTATAGATAGATGGATATCATTAATGCAAAATAAAATATAATATTTCATATTTAATAAATAATTTCCATTCAACATTCTCATGTATTTCTACTCTTATCTTTTTTTTTTTTTTTTTATTTACAGGAGGCAGTTCCCATGGAATCTGATTCTGCTCATGATCTTTGTGAGTATTAAAACAACCAGAACAACCGTAATAACAAGTCTTTGGTCATCTCAGATACATCAAACTATCACATATCTACTAGTCAGCGCTAGTGCTGGACTAGAAGTACTAGTATTGCTCAAGAACAAGCCTGTTGTCACATTTAAAAGAAAGTCTTCCTCTATTTAAACATGTAATCTCTTCTCTCCTACTCTAGACTCTGTCTCTTTCTTACATGACAGGAATGCTGTCCAGGTATACAGTCTCAAGTTATATGTATATCATGTCTTTCTTTTGTGGCCTGTATTCATGGTTGCATATCCATATTTCCCTTCGTCCTACTTGTACAATATGTTGTTACTGCATGTGTATGTCATAAGATTAATGAAGGTGAAATCTTTTTGCATGCATCATATCTTTTATTGGTCTATTTCTGATTCAAATCTTCCCCTCTGGCTCTATCTCTCTAGCTACTACAATACTAAATCTGTCATCATCTGCCTGGGTATTACTGTCTTGGTCTGTCTTGCTATTACCATCTTTAGCTTCCAAACCAAGGTTAGTATTTTTGAAGCAACAAATATTTCCATTTTTCTTGACCGCAATAATTTTCAACTGTAATCTGGAATATATTTATTTAGATCATACAAATTTTTGTCATTTTACAGATTGATATTACTTCATACCAAGGTGTGCTGGTAGTCTTCTGTACAGTAGTGTTTATTTGTGGAATTGTCCTGGCATTCATCCTGCCCTTTGGATATGTAAGTACCGATGATCGATTGATTTTGTAGACTTTAATACTCACAGAAACGAGAATGTACTTTGACAAAGGCTTCTCTCTCCTTCAGGTTCCATGGTTGCACGCTGTGTATGCTGTCTTGGGAGCAATACTGTTTTGCATGGTACATAATTATACAATTATTTCAACTCAGATCAATATTAAATGTTAATGCATTTATTTATTGGTGCGTAGCCATGTAAAAAGGATGATAATGTACAGTCAGCATATCATTATTGCAAAATAAACCAGACCGCATGCAGCATTATCTCTATTGTTTGTTGCTAATTATTGTCATTAATCATTTTCATCCTTTTGTCTTTTAGTTCCTGGCATTTGACACACAGATGCTGATGGGAAGCAAGCGATACACCATAAGTCCTGAAGAATACATCTTTGCCACCCTCAGCATTTATCTGGACATTGTTTACATCTTCTCTTTCTTTCTCCAGTTGTTTGGTACTCCTGAACGGCATTGAAACGAGTGCTGTTTAACCTGAACCTCTTATGGCTCTGAGTGTCTTTTGTCCCTCTGGTCTGAGTGATCCTGTCTTCTCAAGCATGATGTGGATCTTCAGTGCACGCTGTTGTGTTTCCGGTAACACTTTACAATAAGGTTCATTAGGTAAAATTTGTTAACATGAACTAAGAATGAACAAACTTCTACAGCATTTATTAATCTAAGTTAATATTAATTTCAACATTTACTAATACATTATTAAAATCAAAGGTTGTATTTGTTAACATTAGTTAATGCACTGTGAACTAACATGAACAAACAATGAACAGCTGTATTTTTATTAACTAAGATTAACAAAGATTAATAAATACTGTAACAAATCTATGGATCATTGTTTGTTAAAACATTAACTAATGTTCACTGATGAACCTTTTTGTAGTGTTGCCGTGTGTCCTCTCCTCAGCTTTTACAATGTGCCATGTGTTTATCCTGTAGCAGAAAGGATATACATAACATATGTACACTGGTAAAACTTTAACAACATCCATTTAGTTTTACACATGGTGCCATAGAAAACAAAATACAACATATTAAATGCATTGGTGTCAACATTTGTGAAACCTATATGACGTCATTAGCTGTGAAAGTGCACGAAATATTCAGATATGAGCACAAGCAGCATATCACATTGAGGTTAAATTGTGTATTTATCCATCTATTCCCTCTTTGTGTCTGACTAAAACATTTCATAATGTGATATCACAGCATGAGAACATTTCAACAAATCATTCCGAGAAACTATATGGAGGTGAATATTTAACAAGGTTTTTGAATGGCCGGCTGGATTTGAGGAGTGCACGTACGAATCAAATGAATATTTCTGATTTTGTAAAAAATAAATAATCAGTGTTTCTATTTAAATTCACTATCATATTTTCATATGTCAGGAATTTTCCATTGGGAAATTTTCACTGCCATTTTAAAGTCAATGACTTGACTCAGATATGCTTTGTTGAGCATTATTTATTTTGTTTAGACCTATGTCTTATTAATTATAAATGCATGTATTGTTAATTCATCATTACACAGAATTTTAATGTATTATCATAGTAAAGATCTATTTTTGAAGAAAATGTGTTATTTTGAATGATTTTGGATGTGTACATAGCTTCACAGTGTTCACAAAAAGAGTGCAAAATCACTGTTGCTGGGTTCAACAGAATGCAGTTCTACATATAATTTTTCCTGTTTGTGGTCTTTACAGTAGAGACAGTGACTTATATATTTTTATCAAATATATTGAATATGAAGCCAATAAATGACAATGTATGTTTCCGTTGCAAATTGCAAAAAGAAAAGGTTTATCAGAATAAATAAATGTAAAAGTTCCTGAAAAATAAAATTCCAAATCCCTCCTATTTGTGTGTTGTTATTAGTAATATAATAGATAAACACAATGCTTTCTTGTTATAAAAGGAACAAGCTTACATATCTCATATTATGAGGGGTCTTGAAATCTCATTCACATCACATTTTAGTTTTAATATAAAAAGACTCAGCTCAGTGAATGATTCAATGACCCGCTCATAAAACACAAACAAACGACTCATTTATCGCCACCTACTGGCATAACGATGTAACCTGAAGAAAGAGTCACTGACTGAATAATTAAATAACTCAAAAGATTCGAGTCACTGAGAAAAAAAATAACTCTATAAAAGGTATTTGAGGTAAAAGTGTGTGAGACACTTTGCACTTGATCCAACCATTCCTCTTTCAAAACACTGCGCACTGATGACGCTCTTCCGCTCCGCTCATCCAATGGAAAAGCGCGGTTTTAACATGTGAGCTTCGGCCATGTTCTTCTTTTAAATAAGGAAGAAGCGGGAGGCGTTAAGGCAACTTTGTGTACTCAATATCTCATTCACAGTATCTCTTACGGTTTCTGAGAAATTCGAGTCAGTTAGGAAAAACTACCCACAGCAGATACTAACACGCGGGCAACTCGTTGGAGCTCGCTTAACCACAGATATAATTATTGCTGGGCTGGAATCTCACGCGTTAGCAGTTGGTTAGCTGGTTGGGCTAACGATCAGCGGTGTGGGTATATCTGGGCTGGTTTAGTCGTGCTCAAGTGAAGGATTCAGCTAACGTACTTTTAATCTAACAAAGCTGGTTAGCAGTGGCATGCGGATGAAGGGCAGGGGGAGCCCGCGTTTGGGACTGCGCTGACAGCCCCGAGGACTTATTCCGCTAAAATAAAGGCTTTCAGACATTCATCATGTTTAATAAGTTCTACGAATGGATCGGAACCGGAATCGCCAGTCTGCGAAACGGAGCTCCAGCTGGTACTGTTCATGCCGGTTCCGTGAGATTGGATCAGGATGGGACATTACGGAGAAAAAGACCCATAGACAGGTAAATGGTGTTCTAAGAATTGTAAGATATTTGCTTACGTGTGCAAGAAGAATTGTGGTTTTAATTATCTTTTGGTCTTACGCTAAAAGTATAGGTTTTAAATGTTTGTGTTTTAGTCATAAGTTAGATTGTTTTGGTTCGGTCATTAAAGCGCCAACTGTTCTGAAAGGATGACGTCAGAAACGCGTGCGCTTCTCGAGCACCTGCAAAACTATTTTTCTTTTTTTCTTCCTCTTTTGTAATGTACAGATTTTCGATATGTATTCATATAACGTTAACGTTACTCAAACAAACGACGTTTGCTACTTCAATGAAATTCGCAACTTTATAATGAAGTTGATATTACGAGTAGAATTTTGTAGGCTATTTTTAATTTTAGTTAATTATTCATGTTTATAATTTATTTTTGTATAAATATTTATAATTACATATATTTTTAATATGTATTACATATTTAAATACATTGTTACATATGTCTTAATTATTTCTATATAGTTTGGATGATGGAGATGCAGTTGAGGAAGAGAGGGTGGTGAAGAAATTCAGAATGGGTAACTAAAGTAACACTATTCTGAGTACATGGTTAACAACTGAGTTATGTTAAATCCAATCAATTTTTTTTTTTTTTTTTTTTTTTTTTTTTAGGAGACTTTATGGATACGGTGAAAAATGCAGCCGAAGGAGTGAAGACCCATGGTTCGAGTGTTGCGATTTGGGTGAAGAACAGTGTCAGACCTAACCCTAGGAACATGCTGCCGGCATCACCGGGTCCACCTCAAACAGGAATATCACCAGAACCCGCAGCCAATTCTGCTGCATCAGCATCTTTGTGGGTGGAAAACAAGGTACACGTTTTGTTTGCATTTGCGATATCCTTGAGAACGGGTATAACAGAAGAGCAGCAGCGATTGTACTGTCTAATGCATTTTATCTTTACTATATATTTGAATGTTTTTACTTCTGATTTTCCTTAAAGTTTGGGGATCGGTCATGTGATATACTTGAGGCTCCATCATCCAACACATTTGTGGCTCCATCTAGTTCAGTTGAGTGGAAGACTGTCACAAAATCTGGTAAGAATAAAACATTTTCTCTTTGTTTCTGTAGTTAGGTAGTTATTTTTCTTTCTGCATATTACATATACTACTGATATATACAATCTTTTTTGTTTTGACAGACTCCTTAAGGATGGAACAGTCAGTAACCATATCAAAAATAAGCAGAAGACAAGTTTGTATTGACCATCCACCCCACGAGACACACAAAGCTAACGGTCACTCGGTTAATTTACCTGCTGCCTCCATGCCAAAACCATCCCCCTCTCCCCGCTTGGGCAGGTCCCTGTACCATCGACCACACAGGTCACCTTAAATAAAAATAAAAAAAAACAATATAAAATGTTTGAATTAAAAATAGTCACCCGAAATAAATATAATATTCTTGTTAGAAATAATCATAATTAAATAATACTGTTTGTTGTTTAATGTTTTGTTGTGATAAATATTATTGTTCTGGTTTGAAAGTGTAATAAATGCAAGGTTATGAAGTTGAAAGAAAGTTTGTTTTTGTTGTAGCTTGCTGTCATCTGCGGAGACCAGTTCAGGAAAAGCCACTTATACCAGCCTGTATGAGAAGACCTTTCCCATTCGAGTGGTTCAGAGTCCTTCACATGGCAGCTCAAACCGTCTCCTCCGGACCAGAGTCCGCTGTACAGCACAGGAGGTTAGAAAATCATTATACTGGTTTGTTTAATAAACTAAATATTTCATAAGCATAAAATATTGTTAGAATGACTTCATTAGCCTTAGGGCTCTGCACGGTTGATCAGAATAAAACACAAATTGTGATATGATTTTTTTTTTTATCAGATATGTTATGATTTTTTTATTTACTTTTTTCCTTCCAAATTGGCAGCATTAATTAGACATTGCTTTCACCGTTTTTATCTGTTTTTTTAGTCTGTGCGTGAGGAGGAAAAGGAGGTTTACAGGCAGCTCTTAGCCATGGTGTCCAGTGGCCAGTCGACCTTCCTTCACGATGGTAGTTCTCACTCCAGCATTCGTTCGCATCGAGATTTGTAAGTATCTGTGTCAAATTACTGTACAAAGTGTTTTCTTTATGTCAGTGTCTAAACCTGATCTGCTTAAATGGTTAGTTCACCCAAAAATTCAAATTCTGCCATCAGTTACTCACTTTTAGAACATTTTTAATATCCGTTTTGTCCATCCATTGAAAGTCTATGCAACCGAATCGATCACTCATTAAAAAGTTTGACATTGTAAAAGAAATCCAAATGAATCGAGCTAATCCTTAAGTCTTTGGCGAGTCGTTTTATATGATAAGCAGATTTAATTTAGGCTTTTATTCACATATAAGCATTGCTCAATGCACAAAGAGCGAGCTCATCAAATTTGGTAAACACTGAAGTTCAATCGTGCGTGCTTGATGTGCAAGAACTAACCTCAATGGTTCTTTTGGAAGCTCAAACATGCTTGACATGTGAGAACAAACCTTATTGGCTGTCACTCATCAAGCAAGCATGTTTGATCGTCCGTTTTACCATATAAAGTGCACGATTCAAATGGATAAAGTTTACAATGTCTTTATGAACATTTTGAAGCTTCAAAGTTTTGGTGGACTTTCAATGGAGGGACAGATATTTTCAAAGATAAATGAAACCTTTATGGGTTTGGAATGGGTGGGTAATTGATGACAGAATTTTCATTTTTGGACAAACTATTCCTTTAATATTAGTTTCAAATGGGTTCTCTCGCTTATGGTGAAACATTGGTCTTGTTTCAGCTCCAGCTTCCTGTCGTCCAGTCGAAGTTTTCTTCAATGTGCCTCTCCAGCAGGCTCCGGTGCTGGTGTTTCGTCCTACGGGTTATCCAGTCTGCCTCCCAGCCCCCAGCCTGGGTCCAGTCAGGCTTCCAGTGCCCTGCCCAGTCCTGGTGCAGCCTCCAGCATTCCAGAGCCTCAGCTATGGGCCCATGACCTTGAGCCCACCGCTAAAAGACCAGCTGTTCCCTCAGCTCCATCACCAGCTGCCCTTCAGGATACCTCCTCTCAGGACACACAGTCATCAGGTGAGTCCCATTTCATTCTTTTTCATGTTTGTAATGTAATCCTGGCTTAAAGGTTAGCTCAATGTGGTGTTTCACTTTCTTTAGCTCACGATGGAGATTCAGTCATTTTTGTAAAGGAGCAACAGGGCAAGAAGCCTGAGAGCTCGAGGTAAGAGAACATTTTGAGTTTACCTTTTGATCTCCATTTCTTTTTTTCTTTACATAACCCCGTCTTACTCTTTCTAGTGTGCCGTGCTTCAAGGCTGAACTGTGGATCAAAGAACTGTGAGTACTTGTTATCTTTTATCTAATATGTACGAGTCTCTTTGCTTTAGTTAGTGGAAGTAAATAGCTTCTGATATCGGCCATCTTTGTGTTTATTTTCAGGACTAGCCTCTATGACTCTCGAGCTCGGGAGCGACGGAGGTTGATTGAAGAGCAGGAAGCTCTGGCCTCTCAGCTCCTGCGCCAGGTGAGTCTGTTTCCCCTCATTTTACACCTGCATTTTTTATGACAAGCCCACTCATGCTTTCATTTGTATAATCAGCGTCTCTCTGGAGAGGGTCGAGCCATCCCAGCGAGTGTTGAGCTGAAGGTTCGAGTCCCTCTGGAGAAGGAGGTTCCTGTTGCAGCAGTTATCAAAGAGCCTCAGCCTATTAAAGAGGAGCGAGAATTCCCAGAGTTAACAGAGGTAAGTGCTCCTAATGGGATAGTTGAAAATTGTTATAATTTATTCACCCACCCTTATGTCATTTCAAACCTGTATAACTTAGGGGTTTTCACACTGGCCACTCAAATACACGCGTTATTGATAATCTATCAGTGTTATTTTTTTAGTAATTTTTCCATATTTTGATAGACATTTGCATGTAATATTTTATATTGTCAACATTTTTCGTAACACTGTTTTAAATAAAATATCATTATCACCTTGATGGAAATGCCCCGCCCCCCCACACAAACCCAGCTCTGGAGCATGCGTTTTTGAGATCTATCAGTACTCGAAATGAAAAATTGACGAATGCCCATCCCTACTTTATTCTATTGAACTATTTCTATTTGTGATTTAACGTCATCACTAACATGCATGGTGCATGATAGGAAACCAATCTCGGGTCAATATATTGTGAGTTTTTTTATTAATTTGGTGTTATTACACGCAACAGTGTGAACAACACTTGCGTCTACTGTATGTGCGTCACATGAAGGTGACTTTCTGCTGCTCGCAAACTGGTTCTTTTGAGGAGATAGCTGACTGCGAACCATTCATTTGCTGCTCTGATTGCACTCACTCTGCACGATTACATTGCATGCTCAATCCCTTGTATCCCAGGTTAATCATCACCATTGTCGTCTCCTACATGTTTTGTTGATGCCGGCGCCGGCTAAATATTTTACTTCCTGAACATGTGCTCACTCGAGTCCGAGTTGCTTTCACATTCATGTGAATCGTGCCATAGTTCCAGTGCAACCAAACTCACACCACCTACTACAGGTAGTACCCCGGTGCGCGCCCAGGTCCGCATGACAGCTTTCACATTAGCAATTTTTCGTCCAAAGCATACTCGGGTTTGAACTAAACTGCCAGTGTGAAAGACCCTTACTATCTACTGCAGAACACAAAAGTAGATATTGTGAAGAATGTCTCTAACCAAACTGTTTTGGTTATCAATGGCTTCCATTGAATGGGCAAAAAAACATTTTTTGCATTTTTCAGAATCTCCTCTTATGTTCTACAGAAGTCCTACAGGTTTGAAATGACAGGATGACAGCATTTTCAATGTTTGGGTGAACTTTCCCTTCAAGTTCATCAGGTTCAGTTGAAATGACTTGTCCAAAGGTCCGAGACTATTAGTGAAAATGTTGCATTTTTCTCTCTGCAAAACCAAAATGTTTGGTTTTTGGCATTTGTCTTTCTCCAAAATGTTATTCAGCATGATTTTAAATGTTCCAAAGATAAACTTGTTTTGTTATTAGAGCACGGTCTTGATCTTGTGCACAATGTTCACATTGTCAGCGTCACACATTTGCATGCAATTTGGTTAGTGCTGTTGAAATATTACAACATTACATTAAATATGACTTTTTCATTTTTTTTTTTAAACTGGCTATCCATAATCTCAATAACTTTTGAGTGCAAAATTAAAAAACTGATTCTCAGTGTGATTAATCTCAGATGTTTGATCATGACAGTTTATCAGTTTTTTAACTGACTAATAATCATAAAGTTTGAGGCTGTAATGTGATTTAATTTTTTATCTGACTTGAAATGCATTACAGCAGAGATTCCCAAACCTTTTTGTTTACAAAAATATTTAGTACGGTACCCACTGAGATTAATATTTGATAGTTAATATTTCAATAATTTAACTTCACATTCTCATGTTTACGGTTCTCTGATGTCAGGTAATGGTCAGATTAAATTAAACAAATAAAATGGTTAATCTTTCTTGTGTATTTGGTTTGGTTTTTTTTTTTTTTATATTTTTTTTTTTATATTTTTATTTTAAAAATGTAAAATTGTTTTACTTTCAACTCACAACTTAACTTACTGCTTTTCATCAACTCACAAACCCTAGTTTGGGAAAGTGTGCAGCGCAGGAATGTTCTTGAGTGGTGTGTTTCCTGTTTGTGATGTTCACAGGACATGGAGAAGGAGGTGAGCAGAGCTCTGAGAGGCGGCAGTCAAGATGAGGTTCTCAGCGAGGGCTTCCGCCTCACCATCACCAGGAAGGACCTGCAGACCCTCAACCACCTCAATTGGCTCAATGATGAGGTCAGAGCTTTACTACATCATTCAGGTTTCTGTACAAGCCTGTCAGTAAATTCCAGTAGTATTTTAAAATGGATTCTGAAAAGTCTGTTTACGTAATTAACAAAACCTATGAGTTTTCGAGTGGCTGAAGATGTCTCAAGATTTGTGCCTAATATATTTTCTCCATTTCAGGTTATTAATTTCTACATGAACCTGCTTGTGGAGCGCAGTAAACAGCCCAACCTGCCCTCCGCTTACACCTTCAACACCTTTTTCTATCCCAAGCTGCGTAGCTCCGGTTACTCTGCTGTCCGCCGCTGGACTAAGAAAGTGGACATCTTTTCTGTAGACATCATTCTGGTGCCTGTCCACCTGGGGGTGCACTGGTGCTTGTCTGTAAGTAGCTAACCAGCACCAAGGTCACACTGAGGACTTGTGCATGGAAGATGCATTGCTTTTGGACTGCTTTCTTTCCTGACATTGACAAGTTATTCAGAATAGTATTGTAATACATTTCAATGAGTTTAAAGCGGTCCTATTATGCCCTTTTATGAAGTCTTGATTTTGTATTTGGGGTGTACTAGAATATGCTTTCATGCTTGATTGTTCAACAAGCACATTTTTTTTCACATATTTTACATTATTGCAGCACCTCTCTCCCCAGTCTGTCCCGAACGTGACATTTATTTCCTGTTTTGATGAAGCCCCTCCTTCCGAAATAGGAAATGTGCTGTGATTGGTTAGCTGGCCCAGTGTGTTGTGATTGGCAGCGCTTAGCGTGTGTTCGGGAAATGTCATGCTCTTTACCATAACCGCAAGCTCTACTCAGATCTAAATAGGTGTCAATTCCCGCCTGATTCAGACTTAATGTTAACAAACAAGAGGATCATGCAGAATGGGTTTCATGCACTGACATTGCAAGCATGGATTTCACAGGATGTTTCAGAGTTTCGTATACATTTTAGATACGAAGTTATACACCATTTTATCATGATACTTGTCAGAAAACTATGGTAATACAAACAGTAATCGATCTCAAAATCATGGTTAATTTTCTTAAGGGTTGGTGAACAGCCTTACAACAGCGAGAGCTTACAAAAGTTACAGTAAACACAACATGCTGGCTAGCAGGCGAGCGGAGGCAAAGCTTTGCCTTTTGTTTACATCGTAGCAACAACATAAAACTTATAATTGGAATTATTAATTGAAAATGCAAGTAGAAATAATAAAACATACAAGTTATGCTCCACAAACAACAGATTGTCCCGATAAAGTGGGAACTGTTCCATTACAGGAGAAGCTTTTGTGCGTAGCCTGCATTGTACTCTCCTATGGCGCTTTTCCACTGCATGGTACGGCTCACTTGTGGCGCTTTTCCACTGCATGGTACGGCACGGCTCGGCTCGCTTTAAATGGTACCACCTCTGTTGAGGTTCCAAGCGTACCGTACCGATACTAAAATATGATGTGAACACACTGCAGATCACTGATTGGTCAGACAGAATCGTCACTACCAGCGTCATTGTATTTGCGAGACATCAAACCCGCTACATTTAAATAGCCAGTAACAGCCACCGCTGTAGCACCTGTTTTAAAACTACTTGCTTGAAGAAAAAAGAAAGAAAGAAAACTTGCAAAAAAGAAATGGCTGAATCGTGGTCAGTGGACGAAGTGCAGACGTTCCTCTCGTTGGTTGCCGAGGAGCGGATAAACTATTATGGTCAGACTATAATCCCACCCACTTGGTACTAACTGCAGTGGAAAAGCAAACCGAGCTAAAGCGAGCCGTGCCGAGTCGTACCACGCAGTGGAAAAGCGAAGCGAGCCGAACCGTACTGAGCCGTACCAGCAGTGGAAAAGCGCTATTAGGTTCTGGAAGCTGTTCTCCGTAAAATGTGTAGCACACAGATAAACATTGGGATTATAATGTTCAGGAACAGTGTTTCAAATAAATTCTAACCACTAAGTTCGTCAGCCTTAGGAAGGTCAAACAAATGTGTTTTGCAAACAGGCTGTAAAAAAAACTGTCTTTCACATATTCTTCTCTAATGCAGCTCAGCCAGGCCTAGACCCCTTTTTGCCTATTCTGTGGGTGGAGATTATTTAAATGAGTAACATTGTGACTTCATAAAATCACGAAAAAACGCTTTGTAGTCCAAACGAGTCGTTCGTTGTAGTTCTTGGAAAGTGGATTCTGTTAAACAAAATATCTTCCTTTGGAGTGGAATTTGAGCTTTGTAACCTTAATCTCTTTTTTTTTTAATGCTCGAATAGCAACATTACACTCTAACTAAAGTTGAAAAAGCATAGTAGGACCCCTTTAATATATGAACTGACTATTTACTGTGAAGTCTTTTGGGATTGTTTTTAATTGTTCTCATTTCTTCCTTTTTGATAGGTGGTGGATTTTCGTAAGAAGAGCATCACTTACTTTGATTCCATGGGAGGAAACAATGACGAAGCCTGCAGGATTTTATTGTGAGTGCTGCCTGAGGATTAGATGATGAAACGGGACTGCAAGAAGTGCCATTTCTAAATAAATCCCATGATAACCCATTAAGAAATAAACAATGAATTATGCATGACTAGACATTGTCAAAAGTGTCTTTAACTGTGCCTCTGTATTTCAGAAAATATCTGAAACAAGAAAGTGAAGACAAGAAAGGGCAGAACTTGGATACCTCAGAATGGACTCTAAAGAGTAAAAGGCGCAATGTGAGTTTCTGAACATAAACATAATTTAGGGCTTCTATTGTTTAAAATTGACGCAAAAAAACTCTACGATCATCTGAAAGATTTATTTCACTGAATGCTCAGGAGATCCCTCAGCAAATGAATGGAAGTGACTGCGGAATGTTCACATGCAAATACGCTGAATACATCACCAAAGACCGACCAATCACATTCACGCAGGTGAGCATAATTTGCATAGAGTTCTAAATATGTTATTGGTCACACTTGTATATGGACATTTAATTGACGTTTCATTCTTTTTTAAAAAAACAGAAACACATGCCCTATTTCAGAAGACGAATGGTATGGGAGATCCTGAAACAGAAACTCTTGTGATTGGACACTATTTGTGTGTGTGTGTACAGAACATTATTTTGGTGTGTCGTATGGATATGAGGGCTCCTGTGCACTTCAGGAACCCCGAGACAAATATGGGATGCCCTCAATCACTGCTCATTTCTATGCTGTCTAAATCCTCATGCACCTAAAGGACACAGTCTCAGCCTTTAAGAGTCAGGGCAGTGGATATTTGCCCTTTTATAGTTCCCTATAACTTGACATACTTTTGCTTAGCCAGCTAATGTTGTTTGACTATGGAAGGATGTTATTTTCATATTTTCAATATTTTCTTGTGCTACCATTCATATGCAGTTACTGTCAATAATAAGGCCTGTCTTTAGATGAATTCAAATGATTTGTTGCTGTTATTTGGCAGAGAGTGTGCTTGATCTCAAATCACCTGAAGTCATAAATGTTATAGTAATATTACGGAGTTTTAAGCTGATATCTTTTCACTCTAGTACTAGTAAAACAGCTGGAAATGACAATCACAGACTCACTCAGTGGTTTTGTAATAATTTTACAGCAGTTAACTTAATATTTGTGACATTTGATACCTGTTTTATACAGAAACTTGAGGTATTTAACTGTTAAATTTATTTTCTTTTTAATAAGCAACTAAGACTCAATTAGAGGTCTTAAGCTTGTCTGCGTTTTTGGAAAGACAATTTCTTTTCTTTTTTGATTTAAGTCAGATTTGTGGTTCTTTTTTCTAGGGGTGATGAAATGCTCTTGTGCTGCAATGCGTTTGACTTCAGTATGGTTTGAGGTTGAGTTCTGTCGTCACAGGCATACGTTTATTTGTATCAGTATTTGCTCTTTGATTATTTGAGGAGTCTTGACATTTTTGGTCATCTCATAGACAGACTGCCTTTAACCCAGCAGCACCATCTTTTTCTGTTCTTATTTGACATTACTTATCTTTTGTGTAAGAGAAAACTATTTTTTGCAACTGTTTCTAAAAAAAATCTGCAGGAAATTGGCAAATATTGTATATACAGTGACTACGGTAAATTTGAAGACATATTTAATACTCATTTTGTACCTTTTATTATCTGTTTTTGTACGTGGAACAGATCTTAACAGAAATAAATTCCTGAGGTTATGTGTGTATCAGATGACAATTGAAATAATTTCAAATGAATTCTTGATTTTGTGAATCATCTAAGAAATTCCTGTTTTATGTGCTTTAGACATGAAATTTTACTTGACTACCAACAAAGCAAAACATATTAAAGATGAGAAGACAGGGTTGGGTATCTACAAATGTCCTGTTTAGTTTCTGATTCATTCGCTGGTGTATTTCAGTTATTTTTTCCTCACAATATATGGCTCTGGACTGACCCGGGTGAGGAGAGTGAAAAAACAAACAAACATACAAATCGACACGTGATTGACCATTTGATCATTCAGATTAAGCAAAAACTTTTTGTCCACAGTTGTATATCTATGAATTGTGTTTTACATTTGTGAAATGTATTTTGGGAATATATAATTTTATTTTGCGCACGTGAATAGCTTTTTGTTAAAAAACTATTTTTTTCCCCGTGCACATGATTTTTTTTTTTATGCACGTGAATTAGCCTTTTAGGTTTCATGCGTGAATTTGGCTACCCATGTGTGGCAGCATCATGTTTTTTTTTTTTTTTTTTGCGTGAAATATTAATGACACTGATCTGGCTCAATAGAAAAGCGAACAATTAAACAACATGGATTAGTTGGGGGACCTTAATTGGCATCATTAAATTTGCGAAGCAGGGAAAGGAAAAGCCATATCCGGTATATTTTTTTCTGTTGATATGAAAAAAAAAACGTTTACATTTAATATACCGGGTTAATTATATGTACAGATATGATTTTATATGAAAACTCATTTGCATATTTATGGTACGCAAGGGCAGTGGCGTAGGTTTGATTTTGAAATTGGTGGGGACGGGGACATCAATATTTAATATATTTAAAGTTTTGATCGAAAATATTGCTAGGGATATATCAGTGTCACTGGATATTGGTAGGGACACGTCCCTAGCGTCCCTACTAAATTCTACGCCCCTGCGCAAGGGTGTAGTTACATTCAAGGATAAAAAAAAATCACAAGAAAAAGCGTTTTCAAAAATATAATTTTGATGATCAAATATGAGTTTAAGGGATACAATTTATAGGGGCTTTTGCACCGGATGAACATTTTCATAGTTCAAAGCATAGACATTTATTATGTGGTTCAAAGAACCACATAATAAATGAACTAATGATGAACTAATTCACTGTCTACTTTATATGTACAATAGTTATATCAAATAACATATTAGACAGGACTGTTAGACAGATCGTAAACTAATGACCACGGATACGCAATACGAGCACTGTGAGCTCAGACTCTGGCCTTCTCTGCGCCTTTATAAAGGTCCGCCGCGTCGTCAAAATAAAAGTCACAATAGCTTTTCAGAGTTCCTACTGGCGGTGCGAATGCAACCAGAAAACGTTCCTAGGGGGAAATATATAGTTCTCGGGTCATGAAAATGATACTTTCTCGCCATATTGAGACGTCTATCCGCACATTCAAGATACAAAATGTTCACACCCGCACTTACGTTAAAATGGATATGCCTTTCTTTTATGCAAATATATTCTGATTTATAGTCGCCTATTATATTTGATTTCATTCAACACTGAACTATTGCCATGGTCAGCAAATTTAAATGTACATTTCAGCATCTTGGATTTATATGTTCACACAGAGGAAAACACAATCACTATTCCAGTCTCAGAATCTTGTAGGCCTACTTCTGAAGGAAACAAACTGAGGGTGTGATCCACTAATAAGGGAAGAACTCTCTTGGTTTTCATTATATTGCCATTTTATAGCTCAGGGGACACAGCCCAAAGAACACACTCCTCACTCACCAAGGCAAGAAAAATTAATTTACAGGCCTACATTACAGAGTTGGTGGAGCACTCTTTACAATGCGTAAAAGAACAGACATAACCAATATGTATGAAGAGGCAAGACAGAACCATTGACATGAAAACAAAGCCATAAAAAGTTTATCATCCAAATAGCTTCTCTTTGAAATTTTCTTTAAAAAATGTTTCTTCAAATACAAAAATAAATCTCAACATTTAAACAGAGCATAACCTAACTTACAAGATAAAGCAGCATTTTGGAAGGAAAAAAAGGACAGTTTTTTTGTGAGGGGATATGAGGTCTTGGTTTCAGAGTTCAGTCTAGTCTCACTGGATGCAAACTTGCTTGAAACAGTGAGTGCATTTACAACACTCTTCGATACAGCACATTTTTCTGTAAATCTATTCAAACAACTTAGCTGCTGGTTTCAGCAGGTTCCTCTGGATTTCCTTAAATCGATATTCAAGAAAAATGCAGCAAGATCTTTGCAATTTTTTTTTTTTTTTATACATATATGTACAAAATCCCCCCTTTTGCAGCAGACAGTTCAAAAGCAGTCAACAAAATCTTTGAGTAATTTTACAAAAACATAAAAACAAATTAAAATGACACATGGTGCTGTAACATCGTAGTTGTTTCATTCTGGCTTTGCAGAATGTTTTAGAAAATAAAGTTGCAGAAAAATATTTCTCAAAGTGTGTTGGAGTGTGTGTGCATGTATGAGTCTTTGTGTTAAAAAAAGCTTACTTTGCTTTTATGACATCTTGTGGTCATAGCTTTCTCCACCCAAGTCTTTCACTTACTAAAATAGGTAAAGCTTCATTATCGGTTGGCCTTCTCCAAGAAAAAAAAAAAAGAGTCGCAAAAAAATGTCTGCTTTCTTCAATTGGAAAGAGACACGGTTCTCAGTTCCTTTTCACAATATCCATTTCTTTTCATGTCAAGAGAGGTGGTTCCGTATCCAAAGTCCTCCATCATGCCTATGAATGTACTAAAAGGAGAGAAAGAAAGATCATACAGTCAGAATAGAAGCTTATAAAAAGACAAAACATCTACTTATTACTCATCCATCTAGTTCAGAAGAATTGATTTTATAATTTGTTTGAAAACACCAATATTATTAACAAATTATCTTGTGGAAAAACATTGTTTTCACTCTTTTTCCATTACAGACCACAGCATTTCCAAAGCAACAGGAAGTAGGCAGCCCACCTCCTCTTCACTTGCCATGCTGGTAGGAGTATGTTGTGTGGTCTGTGGGTGTCTCTATGGCAACCTGCTGCTGTTGGACGCTATTTTCCTGCAGTGGCATAAGGTCAACATTACTGACAATCCATCGAAGTGATTCAAGCTTTCAAACACATAGAATAATTCAGCATGCAAGTGTTTCGTACCTCAGCTGTAATGCTTGAAGGAGGCACTTGGGCATATTGTGGTATGTAGGTCCCTTGCATAGCTGTGTTTGCAGGCATATACTGAGAACAGAAGGACACACATTGACAAATGTGTGATAACCACAGACAGCACACAAAAGAGGAATATTTTAGGTAGATGAAAAACTGGTTCATATGGTTTTGCATAAATCCTGTGATTCTTTATTCTTAGGGTTTACTAGATTTACATGGTCATGGCAGGAGTTAAAAGACTTGATTGTAACACTTTAAATACAATGGGTATTAGAGTAGTGTAAGTGTTACTATTGTTTAGGACAACTAAAATTAACTAAACGAAAACATTTTTGTTAACTGAAATAAAAACGAATTAGGGCTGCAAGATATTGAAGGAAATAAGGTACAAGACTGTGTACTTAACAGTTTGAGTGAGGGAAAGAACTACAATTCCATGAAGCATTGCGAATAGCATAATTAAAAATGAAAGAGAAATAATTAACTACTCGTTTACAACTGTTGATTATATGTATTTATACTACAGGGCTGTTGAATGCTTGAATCTGATTGGTTGACGAACACTCTAAGGTGTGCAATTATTTTCAGGGAAACGCACAGCTAAAGTAGTTCCAGGCAGGTCTTGACCGCATTACAGTTCCAAATCACTTCGCCAAATGATTTCAATTATTTCAAAAGGTCCTTACAACCTACAACAGCAAAAAAACTAAAACCCACAACGACACTGACCAAGCAAATAAATATAGTAAACAATGGGATAAAAACAACAAATTATTTCCATGTTTGTTTGCCACAAAATCACGTTTTATTATGTACG